AAGCATAAAATTCGGCTGTTTTGTTCACACAGGAGTTTTGAATAATTATACAAAATGAAGAAATTGATTTTAATAAAAAATTGTATATGAAAATGTTTTGAAATGAAAACTGATATTTAAAATTCATTGAAGTAATTTAACACATAGCAAAACACTTACAATTTTATTGATTTTATCGGAGGATTGTAGCAAACTCTTTGCAGCTTCATTGCTTTTATCGAAGAATTCTATCAAATTATGTATATTTTATTTATATGCCTATTTATTTATTAAAAAAATTATATTTTATATTAAAAAATTATTTAATTTTATCAAAATAATTCCATTAGCATCACTACTACATACTGCCAATAGTCTTTTCATTTCTAAACTATCTAAGAATTCTTCTCTCTCGTCTACTTGAAATGTTAAATGGAGCAACTCTTGATAACAGCAAAAAGCTTTTTCCGCTCCAATAAACTAACATGCTGAGCGCACCATCCACATTATCGCCACACATAATCCACCACCCACTAGATTGGCTAATCTTTTTGTTTACACGTTTGTTATCATGCCTACGCCTGCCTGCCCGGCTGCCTACCCCAAGGCCGGCATGTGGATGCCGTCTACCAGCTGCTCGCTAGCTTTCAATTAAATTCTCCACTGTATGTATCCACGTGGATATTATCGCTTCACCTACTCGCGCTCAGCTGGTCGAATGAATGGTGACTTTCAGTAGCTGTTCGATATTCATTCTGTGCGGTTGCATTGGACGGCAATTGCAATAACGGTGCAGTATTTCAACGTTAAAACAAATACGTGTGTGAAAAGATTCAAACAAAACAGTGTCACGGTGTTGCTCTCTGTTGAGGTGTAATGAAATCTCGAGTTAATCATTTTAACGCCAATTAATGTGCTTTACATTACAACAATAAATGTCGCCGGCGTTACATGCATAGCGGTTAATATCTAAATATGTGTGTGTATGTGAGTGATTTCTTAGCGAAATTTACGCGGGAATAAATCAGTGGCGGTTTATTTAATACAGTGCTTTCGAATTTTGTATTTTTTTTTTACAAAAATGCATGTATGTACAGTTATCCGCTTAATGCATATATTGAGTAAGTGTGTGTTCTGCTTTACTTTATGTCATCTTTTAACCAAGAATTTCAGAACAAAAATGTAATAGGTGTCATTAGTAGGCGCTACAAGTGCATACCTAGCTTATTTCAAGTTGAATATACATAAGTTACCGTTACTTGCTTCTTAATGATTTCAACAAGTTCTGTCGAATTTAATTAAAAACTTTTAATGAAAGCTTCAAAGCTAATTTAAATTGACATGTGCCAAAGTGTGCTGGGGCAAAAAATAAAAATAAAGAACAAAAAAAGAAATAAGAAACGAAAAAACAAATAAAATATATACGCAATATGTAAATAAATAAACATTTGTAAAAAAATTTAAGTGAACTGACAAAATAACCTGCAGTATAAAAACAAATTACTTGAGAAAAAACAGTGTTTTCATTATTGAAAAGCAAGCTTTAATTGATTTTATATAGCTATCAATTAAATAAATTGATAAATGGCTAAACAAATTGATTCTAATTGACACCGATTTTTATTACTTAATGTGTTCTTAATTAAATAATATATATTGAATGCATAATATTTTAGAGTATAAAAAAATGAAAACAAGCAAAAAGTTAACTTCGGTCACAACGAAACTATAATATCCTCCAGAGCAGTATTTCTTGTAGGGTAAAGGGTATAAAAAGAACTTTCTGTTGTTTTTTATCGGTCATTTTGCATGGTCCCTATATGCTACGGTGGTCTGCTACAAGTTTTAGTCAGCCATTCATGCCCAATTTTGTGCAGATAACTTGTTAAATAGCAAAGTTTTCCTTATAAGTGTTGCATTTTGATCGATCAGTTGTACGGCAGCTATATGCTGTAGTCGTCTGATCTAAAAATATTCCTCAGAAATTGCACTGTTGCTTTTGATAATAAACTGTACCAAATTTTGCGAAGATAGCTCGTCAAATACAAATGTTTTTCATAAAAGGATTTGATTTTAATCGAACAGTTTGTATGACAACTGAATGCTATGGTATTCCGATATCGGCGATTTCGTCAAATTAACAACTGTCGGCAGAAAAAAAACTCTGCAAAGCTTCAGATCGATGCTTCAAAATTTGAGGAACCAGTTCGTGTGTATACAACCAGACGGATATGAGGAAAGTGACTCAGCTCGTCACACTAAAGTGTTTCATTTAAAAGGTTTAAACACATTTAATAGGTGATTTTCGAGGTTCCCTACTTTTTTTTGAAGGAAAAACATAGAAACTTCAGATTTTATATGGAATGTTTATTATCACTCGAAAGAACATTCATTAGAATTTATTTGTTAAAGATAATTTTTCGGGGCTACGTTTCAGATGGTCCATTCGTTGAGTCTAAGTTTTGAAGACTCGTTCTAGCATTTCGACTGGTAACTGGCGAATGACATGCGTACTCTTTTGATCCAAGAACTGAATTGAAACGGGATTGTCCACTTAGACTTTAGACTTTACATAGTTTAACGTTGTAATATCACACGATCTTGATGAACAATCGTCCGGCCCAAAACGTGAAATTACCTACTCACCGAAGTGTTCCCTCAAAAAATCCTTTGATTGATGCGATCTGTGAAAAGTGACGCCTTTTTGATAAAATCAAATGTCTCCGAAATTATGAGCTTCAATTCGATGCATAGAAGAAATAGGCGGTTATCATGGCGCGACAACGGTCGCCATGCACGGCTAAGTTTACACCAGCATCATTTTTGAAGAAATATGGAACGATGATTCCACGGCCCACAAATCATATCAACCAGTCGATTTTTCTCGAATAAATGGCTGTTGTTGCAACTATTCAGATTGCTTCTCGTCCCAAATGCAGAATTTTGCTTATTTCCATACCAATTAAATGGCGCGACCGCCGTCAGATCCTCTTGGAACTTTTCAGGAGTCCATAGAGCGAAGCGATGTCACATAGGAAAGTTGAGTGGCTTCAGTACTTGCACAAGTTGCATTTTGTACGCTTTCAGTTTAGGATCTCAACGTAAAATACTCCACTGCCTTAGTATACATTCTAAGCTACTGCTTCTATGTTTTCTTTACTGTGTGCTGACGTGGTAGTCGAATATTATCCAATAATGAATGTTGTGTCTCAAGATTGGTGATGATGTTACGAATACTACGTTCAGTATGCTGATTATACTGACCGTCAATTGAGCGAAGTGTGCGAAATTCATTCTTTACAGAACGTGCATATTCGCAATAAAGTTGAACGATTTGTAAACGTTGTTCAGGCGAGAGTCTTTCCATAATAAAATGCTGATCAAAAATAACATGTCAGCTTGAAAGCGGGAGTCGCCACGCGTTATCTTTGGCCACCCAGCGGATACTTGGTCTAAGACCGAAAGTCGTGAGCTGGTTGAGCCATATGTCAAATAATCATTACTGGTCATTTTCAAGTGAATGACGCTCAGCGAACTTCCCTTAAGTACAAAAAGAAAATTCGAAACGAAAATTCGCAGAGCTCACAAGATTTCTTAAGATTCCCTTGAGGGTCTAAAGGATATTGATGCTACTCTTTCATGCCTTCCGTTAGTTACCTGCGATTCCTCTGTCGCCTGACAACTTTGCTAGTCGCATTACGCATGTTAATATACTCAAGACTAGTATCGTTACCATGTTATCAGATTGGATAGTCACTACTCTGAAGGAGATTAAACTCCAACAGTCTGTATATCCATCTATCTACAGCAAGCTTAATGGCAGCCATCTCGGCTTAACAAGCGTAATTAAGAAACCTGAAACTAAGGTTAAAAAATGTTTCCTGACATTACACTCCTTCAGCCAGCATCTCACAAACTTTCACCCCTTCAAGAAGATCACTATCACTCTCTTTCAGCGATTTCTATCAATTCACATCTCTCTCGCAGGTATGTTTGTATTGAAAATACCGCCAGAGCTTGGTTTGGCGACACCATGAACCAAAAGATGCAGTTTGAAATTGAAGTGTGCAAGGATTCCTGAGTGTTCAGAAACATGTTCATTTAGAAATTCTGAGTTTAATAGCTACCTTCATAGTCATACAATTCCCGGTTAATTCGATGGATTTTCTATGCAGGATTGGATTAAGTGTCAAAGGTTGTGAGCCACTAAAGTACATATAAATACCAAATCTACAATTGCGTAACTTTTGTTGAAACAGCTTTATTTAAAGGAGTAAAATTGCATTCTGAAAATTAATGAATTTAATGAAATTTATCGAGTTGACAGCGATTAATCTCGGTCATTTCTAAACTTTAACGGATCTGTCAATTTTGAATACCCAGACACACGTCATATTTGATCACAAAAAAAAAAAGTATAAAATCGTCTCACATGCTCTATGCCTCTAAGATTTTACGTTCACTCGCTGTATTCCAATCTTTTTGGCATTTACGGCAGTGGTTTAATTTACTCAATTAGCTAATATTCTGTTTAATAAAGTGATACATGTTAATTGACTCATTAGAGTCGCTATATCGTATTTATGACGCATTCGTTTCTGTTAACTACTGATTAAGTGAGGTTATGTTAGTTCAAATTAATGAGAAAGTAGTTTGCTGAGAATTTCTGAAACGGCTGCTTAAAAGCCAACAACAACTTCAATTAAGGTCGCTAAACTTCAGTTTAAGTCACTTTTTAGCATTTTCGTGAGTCTTTTGGCTTTCACAGTTATTGGTTCTTAATTTTGTTTTATGTAATCTAACTAGGCTAACTACAGCTACGCTTCACATCTTTATATTATTTTATTAAAATAGCATATAAATTAAACAACTTTTTACAAGCAAACAGTTACTCAAACAAGTGCTCATATGCTCTCACAATAGCATCATTGTTCCTAATCCGATCTACAAAACACGTGAGTGCAAGGAAATAGGTGTGAAGTAATAACAAATGAAATATTTTTTAACCGAAACAATATTTATTTATTTATTTTTTGTATTTTGTATTTAAAGCTAAGTTCCAACTCATTTGAACAGTTGTTTGTGCTCAGTCCCTTTTGAGCACTTGATAGAACAAAGTGAAAGATTTATGTGAATATTCTTCTTTACCGACGTAGCACCGTTTACGGGCTTAAAGCAGAGTTAACAACAGAACGCCAGTCCTTCTCCTTCTGCTTTCCAACGAAATGGATGTCTTCCTCTCCTTCCGCCGGTGTTTACTAAATCGAAAGCCTTCAAAGCTGAAATGTTCTTTTTTATCCCGGCAACGTGACCCAGCTAGCGCAGCCCTTGTCTCTTGATTCGCTAAACCACATACATATGTCAATGTCGGCGTATAGTTCGAGACTCGTATAGTTCATCATTCCATAGACTGCGCTACAAGCCGTTGCCAACGCGCAAAGAACCTTTCACGGGTCCAAGACTTGGCGCATGGTGAATATCTGGTCAGCTGTTTATTTTTCAAACCTAAACCCACAGTGATACGGTCCAATCAGTTTGTTGACGGTGGGCTTTAATCTTTCATACAGTAGGCTCGATAGAACCTTATACGCGATGTTGAGGAGGCTTATCCCATGGTGGTTGGGGCAGATTGTGGGGTCTACGTTTTTGTGGAGTGGGCAAAGCACACTTAAATTCCAATCATCAGGCAGGCTTTGGTCCGACTATATTCAATGAAGAAGGAACATCTGCTTCATCCTAAAACAGACGCGGGTGAGTATCCTCACTAGAGACATGTATTCCGTCTATCACAACATGATCGGATTTTCGATTCGGAGACAGCCAGGTGGCTTTATGAATTTTCCTACGCTGGAAACTAATACTACAGATAACCATATTTCGGGCGCCAGCGAAATCGATCAGCCTCAACTGATTAAAGCTACATAATAATTTTCCTGAAATCCTCTTTAGTTTGGTTTAAGTGCAGTTTAACGAAACCACTTTGCGAACATGTGAACAATTGTTTGAGTGACTACATATATTTCACTTGTCGGCCTGCAGCATTTTTTTTATTTCGTTCAAAGTTTTAAACAAAACAATTGAATATTTTTTATGATATTTATTTGCTTGTGCATTTGAGTGT